ATCCGTTCTGGTGGCTTATTTAGTAGTGGAGATAGATATTTATAAATTTCATATGATATAAATAAATAATATAGATACTGTTTAATATCCACAGGAACCAGTGCACTGAATATAACATCACATTGTAGATGTTTTAGTTGTCCAGGTCCTTGGGAATGATCTCTATCTTTTATAAATAAGTAAATATTTAATAAGTAATTATAAACTAGTTACCAAGTACTTACCACACTATTTTTATCTTGTTATTAATGGCTCTATACTTCCACATTCTTCCTGCGGAGGAATAATATCATTATTGAATAGATTTTCTAAAAAGGTAAGATTCAAAGTTGTTATTCTTTGAATAGTACCTCGGTAATGTTTTTTAAGAAAATCAAAATTATTATTAATATATCTAATATATAAAATTGCTTCGCCCTGTGGACCCTTTAAAAAAAGTAAGTATTTACTAAGTACTTATCAAGTGCTTGGAAAATAATTAGTGATTTTAAAAACTTACTGGCTGTGGATATCTTTTAAAAACTGGTTTGCATATTGGTAGCTGGTTAATATAAGCCAGACCTCTTTTGAAGTACTTTATTTGAGAACAATAGAACCTGAAAGTAAGATATAATTAGTTATAAAGTACTTGCCAAGCACTTTATAATCACTTAGTAAGTACTTACGCAAAAGCATTTCTTTTGCTTAAATCCGTTTTTAGGATTTTAAGATTTTGGCAGCTAATACAAATCTTCTTCCAGAATTCATCATCAACGGAAGTATGATGATAGTTAGCAATTTCTAGATTTAAAAATTCATAAGCTAAAACTCTAGAGCATTTCCAAGTCCATCGTTTAACTAGACAGTTAAAAAATGGGCAGAAGATTAGACATTTTTGACCTTTGACTAGTCGCTGATTATATTAAATCTTGAGTACTTGTCAGCTAATTGTAAAGTACTTATCAAGTACTTATATACTACTTCTTGAATCAACTGTTCTACCTCCTCCTGTGTTTATTGCAATGCTGAAATAATATAAGTATATCCTTGAAGATGGGTTGTCGGATATTCAGGTAGATCATCAATATATTCAAAATTTAGAGATGTAAGTGGCGAGGCTTTAGCCTGAATTAAAGATGTTGGAACTGTATTATTCTATATAAATTTAATTAGTTTTTAAGTTCTAGATAAGTAGTTATTAAGTACTTAAATATCTCTAGTTCTTGTATATCAAATCCTCCATTAGAATTCATATATAGAAGCTCTTCGAAATCCATAATATTCGAGTACTTAGTAAGTACTTAGTAATTACTTGCCGTTAGACTGTAAATTATGAATTAAAAGAAAAGTTGAAATTCAGCGGGAAGATACAGTAATTATAAAGATCATGCGACTTGTTATTGATGACTAATGCTTGTTTTGATCACGTGTAAAGGGTAAGGATCACGCGACCCTTCCCGTAGGGTCACGCGACCTGTAGCCACCCTGGCCGACTCGCTTGCCGGTTACGTTAATATAACGTAATCAACGGTCGAACGGGCCACACGGTCAGGCGGGCCATCCTGAAATCCCATATAAAAGATGTCCTTTTAATTCTATTATATATCAACCAGTACTATATCTATGAAGCTCTAACTTTGTAGATAGATTATATATATAAGAATAAGTATTCCATCATTTTTTTCAGACTTTTAAAATTTTTACTATGATAATGAAAACAGATTTTTATATAATACATATAAAATACATATATCGTATTATGATAAGATACTGAATAAACTTATATTAATTTTTGAGGGGTATTAGGTGGTTTTTTATACTATTCATAATTTATATAGAAGAAATCTAATTCTTCTAGACCTGGGTGGTAGAGATAGATTATGTTTAAAAAGATATCTTTTGTATAGTATTACCAGATGGCCCGCCTGACCGTGTGGCCCGTTCGACCGTTGATTACGTTACTTTTTCCAACCGTTCACAACCAGCTGCAACCCCCCGACAACTTACGCCAGCGGCCTACTATAGTACCTGTCAGTAAACCACAATATACAACCTATATATAATCATTAAGTCAGTACTCATAGCTTGAAATGTAGTACGCATAGTATAATAAGCTTGCATGAAGTCGGCCAGGGCTATGGACGATGAAGTCTTTGTAATAAAATTCCAGAAACTGAACCTGGACTCTCTTCCTCATGGTTATCCTCAGAATTTCGAAAGCACACTTGTGAATGGGCCTGGTCACATGACCCGAGGTCACCGCATCGTCGTCCTAACTCCTCGATACTTCCCTCTTGCATGTTATCGAGCCATCCGGTAGCCCTCATAGCTGAAAGTAACAAACGGCGCGTCTGACAGTGGTGGAAGGCACAGCGAGGGTGGGAATGGAGTTCATTACTGCTTCCCTGGAATAGAGTGGTGGGAACCGGTGGAACCCCTTAGTGTGATCGACATCGGAATAACACCCGTCTGCAACCATTTCATAACAACAGGAGAACCTTATTTCAACATCACGGGTATTTTCGCTACCTTGTTGAGGGACAAACCTTACCGTGACAACCCAACAAGTTCGAGGTCGGCGGGATAATCACGTCTGCTCACAAATAATCAGCCCAATGGCGCAATCTGTTGAGTTGACTCACGCAACACCCACCCACATCCCCTCAATCGCCGAACCTTTGGCACCTTACATCAAAAGCCGCCAGGATGCCCTGCTGATTCGGCAAGCTTTGACCATATATCTTCGCTCGCATATCGAGTTCGCAGAGAATAATACCGAGCACCCAGAATGCCACAGTCAATCCCATTTGTCGTTATCAGTGCCTCACGAAGCGGTGGTCGATGTCAAGCGGCTTCCATCAGAGTTGACAGGGTTGCGAAGACAGTACCTGGAAGCGCTCCAATCGAACGTGGCTGCGAGAAGGGAATATCAGTCAGTTGTGGAGAAGGTGACTTCTGTGGGCCGTGAAAGGAGCAAACCACAGGCGGAAAAGTTACCAGTGGATTCGTCCGCGGAGTTACAGGAATACCTGCGGCTTCTCCGTGACCGTCGTCGGCATGCGAAGCTTCAGGTTTTTGAACAGTACATCAAAGAGCTCAAACAACGTGATACGCCCAAACCAGCGGATTTAGAGGATAGTGGGATTCATTATCAGCAGCTTGCGCCACCACCAGAAATCGAAGTTACCCGACATGGCTCTACCACCGGGCTTACCGTCGAAGAGCAGATGCATAGCCTGGAAAAAGCCGTTATCCGGGCCAAAGCTCAGCTGGAGAGAGAGAAAGGGTTATTAGAAGAACTTCAGGCGCAACAAGCGCCCGTAGAGGCCCAAGATATTCCACGCGCAGTTAAGGGCGTGGCGTTACAGCGGACTCGTAATGAGTTGGTGCGTTGGGTGGAGGAGAAATTAGTAAGTGCTGGAAACAATGAGAACCGTTCGGCCTCCCGAGACTTTCATCCCGAAGACATGGATGAGTCTGTGCGTCTGCTTGGGGAGAAGAAAGCACAGATCGCACAACAATACGCTGCATATGCAGATGCTCGCAAGCGTCTGCTCGATGCGGCCTCCAGAGCTTGCCAACCAGTTACTCTCCCGGCTGGAAAGCCCTCATCCCGGCCTACTAGCTTGGTGCAAGGAAAGAATGCATCAGAGGAAACACAATCTCCGGATGCATTGGGTGTCCTTACTTTTGCTAGCGATGTCCTTCAGCCGTTGGCCAGGAGCCAGCGCGCACTCGCACTACAGAAATTCTACCTATCGGGTATGCTTGCGAAGGAGAAAGCCACCACTCTTCGCATTCTGAGCAGGCTGCGAGATGAAAGCCACCTTCTCCCAGAGTACCCGATTCTGGCACGCCAGCCACGGTTTAAACATGCGACAGCAACTCTAGCTTCGCACCAGGCCACGAGTACAGAGTCTGCCAAGCCAGACCAACTTGTTGACCTGGCCGAGGCATGGGCATCTGCTTCGGATGCAGCAGGTATGACTGAACAAGAATACGTCGGGTACCGACTGGAGGAAGGGATAGAGACAGCGCAGGATGCGCTACAGGCGCTGGAAGATGTTTATAGAATACTTAACCAGGACCTGGAGGATACCTTACGTGACCGGCAGGGCAAATCGGGCGAGGACAGTATGTGGCCGTCGGGGGCACGATTGACTAGGTCACGGGCCAAAATGCAGCAGAGCCAACAGCCAGCGAAGGGTCCATGGAGTGGACTCCATGGTCAAGTGGCTGTTGGAAGATGATCTTTGAAGGCGAGCAGCTACTGATGTTACATAATGTTATTTGTTTTTTAAATTTTGATAATACTCGTAGATTGCTTGTCTCCTGTGATAGCGCCCCGTTCATGCCACATTCTGTCCTTGCACACTAGAAAAATTCAAAGATGGCACCAATATAACTTGTTCATCTAACGACTGTTCCGATCGTGTTGTGACGGAGGGATGATCGTCTGATGGTCGAGATAAAATTTCACTGTGAAGAGCCGTTTCCACCCAGGAAACAAAATTCCTTTCAGACACAAGCCGTGCTACCCGGGAGAGAAGATGACAGTCCAATTCAGTATGACTTTTTCTCCCTGCAGCATGCGCTTGTCCCTGTGTTGGGGCATGGATCGAGGCATTTGACGGCGCGTTCAGGTAGATATTGAGGTGGTGATAAAGACCTCTTCGCGCCCGTTCCGCTGCGCGATCTAGATAGCCAATACAACCGTGTCATCTCCAAAGGCAAATCAAATAACACTGCATGGAACCACATGATCACTGACCCCGAAGCGCTGGTAGGGGTGCAGGAAAAGGGAGACAGCAATACACAACATGCTTTGAACTGGTTGGAGAGGATCTTTATCCCGCAGACAGCAGTACAGCAAGAAAACACGATCTGGCCATATAAATAAGCAGGAAGACCGTATGCTGTTGTTGGATGGCCATGATTCACATATTTCATTTGAATTTGTCCTGACATGCCAGGAGAATTAAATTGTATTGATTTGTTTACTACCACATACCTTGGACCTGCTTCAACCGCTAGGTGTTAGTGTTTTTGCCTCCCTAGGCAGTCATTACAGTTACCACCTATGGGAGAGCTTACAAATTGGCCAAGTCAACATCACAGAGCATAGTTTCATACCTTTGTGGTGGCAAGCACGGGAGGATGCCATGACTCCAGAGAACATAGTATCAGGTGGCAGTCATCAGGCCTCTGGCCCATTAGCAAAGAGCGGATATTTAAGCGAGCAGGCTTTGATCTTGCTAATCTTCCTCAGGCAGCTGGTATTCCATCTGATGCTGCAACACCTCCTCCACAGCCTGACCAGTATAATACGATCCTACGCTCGCTCGAGTCGGCCACGCCTGAACGCAGGGAGAAGCTATACAAATACCTCAAGGACTGCTACCTGCATAAATGCTGCAGTACTGATCTACTCCGCCACGAACTACTTGAACTACGCAAAAAGACTAGAGTTCCGCAATGCTCAACGTCAGCTGCATGAGAAAGGTGCATTCGTCCGGGCAGATGGCGTGGTTCTTGACCTCACAGAGGTTGATAAGAACCAACGTGCCTCTATACAAAAGAAGGCAGAAAGGGAAGCGAAACAGCAAGCAAAACCAGCAAAATCTGATGCTTTGAAGCAACGGGCGGATACAGATCAGGATACGCCTACAGTGCCTGCAAAAAAGCGTCGTATTCCTGCAATCACTACACCTGTTCCAACGCGTGAGCCGCTTAACCAAACACCTAGTCTGCCACCTCGTCTGCCAAGTCAACCTATACAGACATCCTACACACCTGCTCACGCCGGTCTCCAGACACAGCTAGAGAGTGACGTTGAAGGAAGACCTCGAATGGCACCTTTCGTGCTTATCCCTACACCTGCATACAGTGTTCCTGGCTATACAGGTCCGATCCCTTCGGGATCCCAATACAAGGACTGAGCAAGCAGTTGGTGGCGCTACGAAGATGACCTCTCTCGATTAGGAATGGCCCATACGCAGCATCCTGCTCAGAGACTCTAATCTCTAATAATTCCTGAATAGCATCATTGTACATAACGAATTTGTATGATACGTTGATAATCGCTTGATTTTAAAGTAAATTGAAATCGTTGTATGCAAATCGGTGGCAGGGCCGTGTGGGCGGGAGCGCGCGTTGCGGGTGTTCCGGAAGTGCGGTGTGTTCCACATTCCCGGAGACCCCTCAAGGGTGGGAAAAAAAAAAAGAAAGAAAGAAAGCCCCTGGTGGGGGTCACCCACGGCCTTAAGATCTCAAGGATAGCTGCAGAGATAGTTAGCAACGTGTTTGATGTAAAGGGGTCCTCGGGAGTACTTGCAAGTCTTACGCGCTACCGATTGCGCCACAGGGGCCCGCCTGGCTGAGGTTAGTCTCAGTATCATGCAATATCAGCTTGCTTTTGTGGCAACTTGTGCCTCACGTGAGACTTGGGGAATAACTATTTACGTATGATCTAAGCCCTTTCAGATTAGCTGTGGCCCCATGTTTTCAGAAACCACCTCTCCTACTCTAGTACGTTCGGCAGAAACCGATAGCTTTATCAGTGGATCTCTTGAATCCTTGTAATACATCGGCTGTGTGGTCGACATCGGTCACCCCATGTCATACCACGTGACGTATCAGACTCCGAGAATGACCTTGATCAGGATGACATGACAATGATTAATCATCATTCCTAACTAGGCATGCTCAACAGGGCTCACAGTAATAGTAGCCTTAAGAGTGGTCTCAATCATATAATGATGACGCCACGAGAAAGTCACATGAGGCATGTGACACACGATGTGTAGATGCAGTTGGCAGCTGCCTATTTTTGGTGCAGGATTCACGGGGAGTCACATCTCGCTGCACCCATAGTAGTGGGATATTAGTCGTCGCTCCGTGAAGCATCGGCGAGTGAAAGCTAATACTGTAAGTGTTCTATTACTTGCCAAATCCACACACACTGGTATAGGGAGATTTCCTTATCCCATACTACAGCCATACAGGAAAGAATAGGAAACCATTTGCACGGTACGAGCTCACACTGCCTTGGAATCATGTCCTATAACCCGGAACGAGCGTGTCAATACTGCAAGTCTTTGGCGCATATTGATAAATACTGTCCTAAATTCAAGAGTTGCATCTACTGCAAAGGAGACCATAACATCATCAACTGTACGAAGATTACGTGCAGAAGATGCAAAACTAAAGGGCACCATCAACTTATCTGCCCGAATACGCCAGACTGTATGTTATCACGCAGAGAGAAAGCTCTTGTATACTATGCATATCTGCTAACTCTGTTGGAAAGCTTTAGACGTTAGCTTGAACTCGATGCCAGGGAGATCGAAGCAACATGGGATGTTCACCACTAAGAGACAGAGCTCAGTATCAGAATTGATCTCTTTTAAAAGACAGAGGCCATTGGACCGTTACACTTCAGTAAATCTGAATATATCTGTCCAGTCACCCGAGCATTCGGACAAGACGTGGTTTGCTATCGATGAAAGCGTGAGGGGTGTGAGTATATCACTTTACCAGGAACGATTGCCCTTAGTAATGACCAGTCTTAGGAGCTTTCACTGCAAGAAGAATTTATCTTTCCATACCTTAAGCCACTGTGCAGTGAAATGATCAGTGAAATCATACAGGGATTATTACCGGGATCATCATCGCCTCATTGCAATTACCCGGAGATCATTGATGAGCATGGTGGTGTGGAGAAAGTAACAGAATCTCTGATCCACCTTATAGGTCCACACATTATCCAGTTCCAGGGCCATGAAGTAACAAGAACTGCACTGAACGCAATTATCTGTCAACAAAGTGATAGTAATGAGCCCTGGAATATGCCTTTAGGTTACGCAAGCATTGTATGTGATGACCGAGATACATCATGGTGGAGGTTATATATAGGCCAATGCTCTTTATCATGGCGGCGGATTGTGTGCCAACATGCCCAGCAAATTATCAAAGGATCAACAGCAAGTCTCTACTACTTTAATCTGTGGATAGGAAACGGTCATCGATATGCTAGGTTTATCAAGCTTTGGGGTTTCCCTAAGAACACGGTGACTGATGGATGGTATCAAGCCTGCAGCAATCTACTTGAGGCCCTGTTCTGCAGAGCTTTCAGGACCCATCACGGAATGTTGAATCGACTGGGGTCAAAGTACCAGAATGATGGTAAGGCCTCAACCTTGGGATGGGGTCTTAATATAATGTCACCGCTCGTGCAGGGAAATTTGGCCCTGAACAAAGAACTTCGGACCAAGGCAAATATTGGTCCCAGTAAGGCACCAGATAGACAGATCCAATACTGGGCCGTTTTCAACTCACGACAGAAGGCAGCTGCTGAGAAGAAAAGACGGAAAGAAAGTATCAAGGCTGTGTTCGAGAAAGATTTCGACATTGCATTACAAATAGCTCTGAATAATGACGAAGAGGCCTTTAACAAGATCAGAGAATCACTCCAGCTACAACAAGAAACATCCAATTTCAGTGAAGATTTGGCTCATATACCCTTTTGCGGTAGTTTGACCTCCGAAGTGGCCGCAATCCTCGACTATGCTGCTGTTTCAGGGGCGAATGATACGCCCATGAGGGCTAGTAATATTGACGACGAGCAGCAAATGCTCACAATTCCATGGTCTCTGGATGGATGTGGCTTTACTGAGGAAAACATTCTCATCTGGACCTACGACTTTAAAAGTTTTACGAGTATAGGTCTTAAGCATCTTGGTCATGATATTCTGACATATCCTGATGCCAGAAAGTTCCATGAGACTTTGCTCGCAAACAGCCAAGCTAAGATTATTTTTCTATATGGGCCTCAATCAGAGAAGCTTATACGAGCCATTGTGAGGTCTTCGCGCCATACTCTGTCTCTACGCGGATTTGACTATCCACTCTATCATGATCCCTTACGGAATCGGCTTTTTATCTGCTGTCCTCCTCTACCTGCAGAGATCTGGTCCGTTAGCACAAGACATAGTATCAAGATAAGCGAGGCTTTAAGATTTGCAGTTAACTTTATCCCATCGTTAAAGTACGATATTAGACCGTTTTTTTGTGAAAACAGCAGGGTTATTGGTTATATCTTGCGCCAAGCAAGGAAAGAAAGACTCGGAGGAGAACCTTTGACTGCTAACACTGTGGACGAGGGTGTCCGGCTCTAGCTAACCAGAAGAAATATGGGCCAAGCTGAAGATATTAAAGAAATAGAGAAGATTGCTGGCTCACTTACTCGCGGCCTTTTAATGGTTTTGAAATTCCTTCCAAGGAGACCGAAAAGTGATGGGAATGAATCCAAAGAAAGAAGCCCGCAGCCCAGCAGGAGAGCCACTGAAAGGGTGAGGGTTCATGAATCCTTCGATGTGGAGCAGTATCAAAAGATAGGAGACTTTGTTCACAAGCATCTAGACGAGCGGGAGGTAGATTAGAGAAACCGATTATCTCGGCTGTGTGCGGAGTCACCGCGGCCTCAAGACAAGGAGAGATGTTCTACTAGCTCTGATAAAGGAGGAACTGATGCGCCATCCACTGATCCGGAGTCTATTGCAGCACTGAAATGCTTTTCACAATGGCAGGGTCAAGCATTTCAGACGGGCGCAGCAGAAATGAAAAGACTGGTAGAACAGTGTCAGGCCGAGGCAGGAGATAGGGACTACGAAGCTCCCATTGATATCCTTCATGGCCTCGCAGCCAGAGTTATAGGTGAAGGTTTTCTTGACCCCGTCGGTGTCACTGCTGCACATTCCGTCATCGCTGGGGCTAGTGACAAGAAGCGGCAGGGCGTGAAAAGTGTTGTGTGGAAAAATGAAGACGTCCGAAATCGTGAATATATCTATAAGCTTAAAGACCAGCTCAAGCGCCACATCTATATCTACTATTGCGAGATTCTGTTCCCGGCTAATATGGATATCTTAGATGAAATGGTCTTTATCAAACTAGAGCTTTGTCCTGCGGGAGAAATACATACAAGTCTATATGCAACCTCAAGCTCTGAAGCTCACGATGATCCGGCCCTAAGTCTAGCCTTCCGGGTTAGATACATCGATACTTTCAGTCGTGAAGTGGTATACTATGCAACAAATCCAGCCATTAATATGGTTTTCAGGGCGAACACCTTGGTGGAGGTTCTGGAGAAGAAATCATTGGAGGATATTTCGCAGTTCCCGAGACGGTTTATCCACATTGGTAGTCAAAATAATGCTCATCCCTTGCTTGAACGCTTTAGGCGTGGGGGGAATACCAGCCCACTTCCTCGTTAATTGTTTGATGATGTGCTGTCTATGTACCGTTCTCCCCTATCCCTTCCCTTACCTTTCTTGCAGTGTACATCAAGCGTCTATCTAGATTCAATTCGATTCATTCCATATCAGACGATCGAGCCCGCTAAGGAAGATGCTAGCTATGCATGTTGCTTCACCGTTTGAAGCTAAGAAGATAGCCCGGAATGCCCTCGAATTCCCCAAACTCGCAGTATTCACACTTAATTCACGAAGCAACACATGCTACGACGTAGGGAGGTCATCACCATAGCTGAACATATACTATACATGAATTGAGTAACTAAATAGTATTGTCATCCATCCATTAGAAAACGCGTGCGATCCATTGCATAGATCTTGGTACTAGTAGTACGAGGCCTATTACATTCATTGGTAAGTTCCATCAGTATACTGTAACTACTAACGAATACTATCATTGCAGTATGACACTTGTATCCTGTATTATATATACAATCAGACACCAAATCTAATCAATCACACTCCCTAGAGGAGAAACCGCGCAAACGAAATTGGGTATATGAATAAAAAGCTTCACAAAACCACACACACCATCCTATGTCCGATCCATACGTACTGTTGTTGAATACAACCATTGTAACCGGTTAGACCAAATACAAACAATAAAGAAGAAAAAAAAAAAATTCACTCCCAAGTCGAAATGAGGAGGATAATAGCAAGCAGCCAGATGATAATTATGACCTCTTTTGAGCGGCACCCTTATGTCAGATTAACATCCTGGAATACGGAAACATCCCAGATGCCTGTCATGTCGAATGGAAAGCCGTCCATCGTGCCAAATGTCCCGGAGATGCTCATCATGTCGTCGACAATATCGTTGTTTGTTTGTGTCTCTGGGAGGGCGATGGCGGCGGGGTTCACTAGTCGATGAGGGTGGGTGCTATCCGGTGGCTGGCCAAGATCTGTGAAAGTGGGCGGATGTTCAGCGCTGGTGGTGGTGCCGGTGCTATTGTTCAGGCGGTTGAGGAGACGCTCGCAGTGATCGAGACACATGTCGGCGACGTCCCAGTCTTCTTCTTCGCGAACACGGCGGAGGATGGATCGGAAGGTTTCGACGTTGGCTAGGCAAGAGCGGGCCACTTCGGGGTCGGTGGTTTCGAGGGCGCAACGGACGAGAAGGGTGGCGGTTGTGGTTAGGTGGAAGGCGCTGTCTGTGAAGTTGTTAGTGCCCTCTCATTTTCTATGCCGGATCATGCAGGATATCTTGGGGATGCGGCATACATGGGAGCCAAAATTCCTGGAAATTCTGCTTCTGGAGGGATGAGATGAATTGCACGATCTCTTCGGCGGATCGCCGACATTCGGTCTGGAAGTAGCGGCGCGCCTCCGGATTATCTGCTTCGGCGTTGTTGACCTCCTAGGCAAAGTGAGTAAAGATGCGAATCGAATAGATAGGGTCCAATGGTACACACGTTGAGTTCAACACGGCTGACGAGCATCTTCACTGCAAGGAAGCCGAGCTGCAGACTGCTTGTACCGGAGATGCGCTCCTTCGTGGTATTCGTGCTGATGGGGTTGCGGAGCCAGTCGGGGAGAGAGTCCTCCCACGCGTCAAGATCCGTGCGGATCTGTCGCACCTTCTTTGTCGTTTCGCGGTGCGCTCGAGACTGCAAGCCGTATACAAGGGGTAGTAGCTCGCCTAAGATCTCAGTGAGCCGGCACAGAGCAATGTGGCAATGCGCAGCTCGCACGCGCTCCGGGGTTCGAGAAGCCTGGGGAATCAGAACTTCAATCGTTGGAAGAGGAACATCATATTGATTTTTAGCAATCTGAGGAGGCACTCCGTGACCAAAACTCCCCCTGAGTGTATGTTAGTGAGACGCCAGATCCATATATGGGCGTAAGTCAAGTAGGCTTACCAGCGATCATGGATGACGACGCCCCACCACAGCCGCATACGGTGGTTTTTCTCAGGGCGGGATAGTTTCCAGTGACTTGGATCGCGGTTGAGTCCGAGACAATGTGCAAGGGAAATCATGCGCCCGCAGCTGATGGCATTCCCTGTCATTGAGAAGATGGGCCGACCGGTAAGATCGATGAGGGCTGCACTGACTGTTGAGAGCCCAGGCGCCGAGAATTCTTCGTGGAGCGCAGCGACAGTCATGTTGACCGCGTACCGGGGATCTGGCTTCGGATGACAGGCCAGCTTGGGAGTATGTTTCCAATAGACTAGCGACATTGAATAGACCTGGCATAAGAGCGACGCTGGCGGGTCTCCTGGGGACTCCGACAAGAATGCCTCCCAGAAAGTTTCCCCATCGAAGATCGGAAATGCTGCATTGAACCTGTCGATGAATCTGAGAAGGAGAATTAGCATGGGGTCTCAAACTACCTTCGGGATCCGTTCGAAGGGAAGGCGTACAGTCTGACTAGGTCGCGCTTGAAGGGGCCAAGGATCTGCTCGAGAATCTCCTTCTGATTTTCCCCGGGAGGAACTCCAACCCGCATACCCTGCCTCCGCCGGGATACAGTAGTGTAAAGAATGGGCTTCCGAGGATCGCTCGAGTAGACGTTGTATGGCTGGCTTTTTGGTTCGACCGATTTGCTGGTCCGTTCCGGCGGCATGTATCTCTCGATAACCTGGGCATCCTCGGCCACGACAGGACCAACAATCAAGACCGACTCATTATGGGGGTCATCGACCCCTTGGCTCCTGGAATCACTTCTCCGACGGTCTAGAGCTGAGTCTGAATGTGCGACGCTGGAAGCGCGGCGGCGGCTGGGGTGCGACGGGGAATCGATTGCGTCTGGGGTATGCTTCCGTTTCTGTCCTAGCGACGAGACGCGCGTGTGATCTGGGACCCACGATTTCGATTCATGGCCATTAGTGAGTGGAGGACCATTATTGGTCTCTTCTTGATAGTGACAATCCGCTCCTTGAACGCGGCACAATAGGCATGATTGACCAGGGATATCAACGGTGCATCGCGATTTGCGCTTCCTGCACAAGTCGCAGGCCCTAACCTTGTGTGACCGGTATGGTCTGGCGCCAGCATTAAAACCCGGAGAGGCCAGCTTTGGTGTGGCAGTGGTGGGAGCTGTGGTCGGCGGCATGGTGCGCCCCAATTGTTCCTTATGGTTGGCGCAAATCGAAGATCATAAGCGGTAGCGATGGCGATTGATTTCTTTTTTTATCGGGCGAATATGACAGGTCAGAATGCCGGACTAACACCGAGAGGTGGGTAGGATTTTAGATCGGGGGGAGCTGCAAGATGATCGGTGGTTTCAACAGTGTTTTGTGCCAAATCAAGTCATCCACACTCGTTGGACCCGGCTAGATCGCAAGGCCGAGGGAGAGCATTGAATCTCTCGGGACTGGGAGGGGAAGACGAGGGGGAAAAGAGAGAGGAGGGGGAGGAGAGGAGATGGGGATGCTAATCGCGAGGAAGCGCTGATAAGTGCATAGTCATTGAGAAGAATAACCCCACACCGTTTGATTTGGAAAGATGATGGAAGAAGCAAGCAGCTCTGTCTGGCTGGAGGCCGAAGATCTCCTTGCGTTTCTGGAAGCGCGCGATCGAAAAAGGCCAGGAGAGAGATTAATTGCCGAAATTCTTGCTTGTCTTATCGGAATCTGCTAAAAAATCCCTGTGGGGCGAAAGGGGCTTAGTCAGCCAAGGCGACCAACCATGTGTCCCCAATTGGTGTACGAAGACCTCCGCAAGAGTACTAGTCCGCTTTGGGAAGTGGTCCTCGGCATCCATGATGATGGATGGATCATTCATCCATCTTCCTCCCTCGTTTGATAGATGAAGTACTAAGTTCTTAGCCCCCCCAGAGCTGATAGAACTGACATGACAAGCACCATCAGCTCGGAGAATCTATTGATCATAACCTTACTCTTTGCTATTGTAGTATGCTCTTTATGATTCTCTCGATCGATCAGTAACCACTGCAGGGACGTAGACTACAGGTCCACGGTTGTTAATCAGTATATCGAGATCCTTTTGTATGTTACATCCGTATTGGCCGGTTGGATGCCGTGTAAGTCATTATTGAAGCAATTCCCGGTTCTACTCAGTTGATCACTTTCTCGTCGCGCTAAACATCATAATGATCCCACTTTAACACGGTCAAAGAATCTCCCTTGAAATGGATTAGGTTGAAATTGATGTAGCTCGTTACGAGAAGATACGAAGCACCTAGGTCCTCACTTCAAATGAACAAGCGGATAATGGGTATATAAATGTGTTAAGAATATGTTCAGGTAATCAATCAATCCACAACACCGGTGTCATCAGCCCAGCTCGGCTGGATACTGCGGCACACGGCCTCGTAATCCCGAAACTTTTGAGAATCGTCCGTCAGTCCTGGAGTAGTCCAGAACATGGTCCAATTCATATCTGATAATTTCCATGTCCCCTGCGAGCGCTCAAAGTACCACTTGTTCACGGGATTGTCCTTGCGGCTGCGCCAGCACACGCCATTCGGAAAACAAGAGCGGACCATTGCATTAAAGACGATATCGGCCACACCACCGGCACCTTGACTACGTTTCAGAACGGCAAACTTGTCCAGATAGGGAACCATGCGAGCTTGGCTCGCCTCACTCCCATCATCCTCTACGCCGGGAGGAAGCTCCCACGTCAAGATGGCGCCTCCTTCATACTCCCCTGCAATGATGAGTCCGGCCAGGCGACCGTTGACTCGGTTGAGGTAGTCTTGTACGTCAAGTTTGCGATTGAAGGAATCCTCGATGAGATGGACCAGTCGGGGCAGGTCGATCGAGGGATCATCGAGCCCCAGACGCGGCCGATCTCGGGCCGTCCAAGGTGAAAGCCATGGATTCGGGATGATGGTCAGCGGCATACCTCGCTTGACAAACGTGGTATGGGAGGCCTGTGTAGCAATCGAGTCCCCTCTGCCATTTAGGGCTGCACGTCGGCTTAGGGGCAAAGAAGACGAGAGCAAAGGTTTGTCGGTCAAAAGATTATGGATGAGCGGGTTCCTCTGTCTTCGGG